CGTGGTGTTTTAGGAGACCACATCTCTGCTTCAGGGACATCCCGGAAAATAAATTGAGGACAGGAATTGCCAAAATTGGTGGCCTCCAATGTTTGACTCCATGGCTGATGTGGAAGAGGTTTCTGGAGACGCAACTTCCCCAAGGGAGGCTCAGCATAAGGAATGCCTAGATAGGCTGTTACAGATCCAGGGCCAGCCAGGAACTGCTTGCCCTTAATAGGGCCACTGCTGGTTATGACCACTGTGTCCCCATTAGAAGCAGAACTAGAAGCCAGTGGAAAGAGGAGGAGGAGGAGGCAGCACAAGAGAGGCGGGCATAGCAGACAAGCCATTGCAACAGTAGGACAAGTCAGTGGACCTGGAAAAAGTTACAACCAATATAAGATTATTCCAATACTGTATAAGTACATCTTATGCCAACTCATGATTACTTTATTGTGATGGTTGGGCTCCATTTTTGCTGAGGACACCAATGATGAGCATGAAATGACTTAGTCAACTCTGCCCTTCTCCATGATGTATCTCCAACGTTCTAGAAGAACCGCTTAGAACTCCTGTTTACTGATCCCTTTGCTCAGTGGATGGACAGCTTTATACAGAATTGCTAGTAGATCTTCTCCAGGGTTCCCAATACAGTGTTGTTATATATTATCTGTGTTCTAACACAGTTAGAACACAGATAATATATAACATAATAACTTAGAATAAGTTTCTAACATTCCAGAATTCTATTCTGGAACTTGGTGTACTAAGCCCTATCTTGTAAATTATGATATAACTGAAATAAATAACAATGTAAAATTACCCCAAATCAACATTTTTATTGCTCTGATCTTGTTTTAAATCCACCTACCATGTCAAGCCAGAAGAGTCACTGAAACCTAGGATTACCAAGGTAAGTGTGCCCTCTTTTGGCTATGTTATACAATGAAATTCCTTAGAAAAACCAGTTATGGTAAGAATGGCAAAATAAGCAAAATTGTAAAACATCAGGAAAAAAATGGAGAGAGCTAATCTATAAAAGGCTATAAATCAGTGTTTCTCAATCTTAGCAAATTTAAGATGCGTGGACTTCAAGTCCCAGAATTTTGGGAGCTAAAAGTTAGGTACAACTGAAAAGATGAAGAGCACACTTTCAACTTCTCCTCTGGACCCAGTAACTCAGTAACTCTAATCACCACAGGATTTCCTATTTTCTTTCACACAAAGGCTAGCATCAGAAATATTTTTTAGAACAGCTACTTTCCCCCAGCCCAAGGGTGCCCAATCTCTGGGCTGTGGCCCATTACCAGGCCTTGAGACTTTTGGAACCAGGCCACGGAGGTGGCAGGTGAGTGTGTGAGCATGCACGCATCCCCACTCACGCAAGCAGCATGCATGTGTGCCTGCCGCACACACAGATTGTTCCCCTCTACACACACACACGGCGATCCACAACCGAAAAGGTTGGGGAACTCTGCCCTAACCTTAATATTTTCCCATCCACACATGCTTTTCTCAGCAGGCACTCTAGGCTGCCTAACAAGCTTTTCTGTAGGCTTCCTGAAGAAGGCCTAACATTATTTGTCCTTGAGGAGCAAGACAGACTCCAAAACTGAACAAATTGTCAATTGTACAGCCAGCAATATTAGAGCAAAGCAAAGTAGAAATAA